TCGATGGATTGGAAGGCGAGGTCGTGTAGTGACATACCAACAAGCGGAAGTAATGTATAGTTACCTCGGTCCGAGCGGAACAGTCTGTAGGCTGAGTGGCAACGGTGCTCGTCACGGGTGTGGTTGCTGGAAGGGGACCATGATTGGATATGAAAGACCGACAACGAGAAGCGGGGTTATCTAGGACGGGCGGGGAATCGATAATGGATGGGCAAGATGGGGATGACTTCACATAGAAAGATAATTAAAAAGATGCTACAAAATGGACCAGAAAGGTGACAACAAACATCATGGTTCCAAGATTTGTGCAGAGCGATGTGCAGCTAACAGTGTGCAGTGGCTTCTCACAAACGGTCGCAAAGGTCCCAGTTCTACTCGCTTTTCCCACAACTGACAAAATGTAAGTATGTGAGCACTCACACATATACCTTGAAGCAACTTCATACCATGTGCATATGTGTTCGGGCTGATGTGGGAGGATAAACACCCGCCTGAAAGAACAATCAGTAAAAGCTGCGGTCCAACATAAGAACCAGCTCAGCTTTCAGACGTATACGGCGTTAAGAACGAGCTCCTGTCAAAACCAAAGAAGTGCAAACTGTCTGATCCCAAACCCTTCCTAGACTCGAACGGAGGTGAAAAATCTGTAAAATGGACGAAGTAATGTGAAAAGCTCAGAGCAACGCCTCATTATTATTGGGCACGCCCGTTCGGAGGATTTACGTATTTCGAATGGAATAATCGCACCTAACCCCTCCTGAGGAGGTACATTATCCACGTTGTGCTAGAACGTTCACAGAATATACTAGTCAAACGTGCGGAAATCACTGTGAAAAGTAACGAAGGTGCTGCTTCTAGACTGCCTTCCTCAAAACAGGATGCTATAGCATTGAAGCCACCTCTAGAATGAACAATTGGTCGAGTTACGATAAACATCATTCCAAAGTTGACGCAAAAATTCTAGATAGAGCGAATTTCATAAAAAACATTTTCCGATAAAGCAAACCTACTGCGCAAAAATGGTATCGCTACGACGAAAGAGAACCGATTTTATCAAGCTAAAAAACGTATCGGAATGTGCTATGTTCCCTGCAAAGTATGAACACAAACCAGCTACGGTTATCTTGGAAGCAATCAAACTATGCAGTTCAATCGCACATCAGTTTTACAAGCATTGCTGCGAACTTAAAAACAAGATTGAAATATGGTCTCGTAACTCTGTGTTGTTTCATTGCTTATTGGTGCACTCATTGTGGTGTGCCGAAAGGTTCGGCGGCCACTAACAGCTGACAATGCGACAAGGTTGGGTTACCACAACTACATCTATCAGACAAGCTGCAGCATCATAATCATCATCAACATTGACAGCATGACATCAGTGTTCAACGCCAATGCTTTGCTGCCGTACAACCATTACTTATTTGAAAACCTTAGTGTGAAGAAAAGAATAAAGGTGGACTGGGAAGGGGCTTAGTGCTAGCTTAACACAATCATTCCGTCTACAGATACTCATTCAAGCTCTGCGGATAGAAACTGAAAAGAACGCCATTGACATCGATTAGCAGTCATATCCTTTAGTGTCCCCAAACAAGTAGAATGAGGATCAGCGACAGCACATTTCAAGTTTCGAAATTCCTTACATATCCTTCTGCCAGGTCAACAGTTCACCGCCTCTCTGCTGACGACACTGAACTTGGCACGGAAAAAAGCACTGTCTTCGGCATACATACCTAACCAACGCAGCTTCTGGTGCTGGACACATTCCCCAGTGGAACTCCCCGTTACACAACCGAAAACCCGCCTTCTAACTGCCTCGTTACGAATCCTGCGGCACCAACCCTTACAAGACATCGTCCTGACTGAACGATTGTCTAACATCTGAAGACGTCTCAATTCCGCTGATTGAAAAGCCCGTCTCACATCCATACGATAAAAACAGTCCGTAATTTAGCCTGATACACGTCCCCTGAGATTTAAGGATACACCACTTTGACGCCACATGTATCTCAAATTAGTAGGTGCGACCCAAGCCTTGTAGATTCGTGCACTGACTTCATCTGTCACACTTCATTTATCACAACTAACACAACTTACACAATGTTAGGCGGAGCGAGACGGCTCAAGTGGTTGGAGCGAAAATTTACTGACAGGAAGGTTCGTGGTTCCTATCCGACCTCTGCCTCTCGACTTCCCCTGTCTAGGCTTGGGCAACCTGGAAGTATCCCAGCCTTCGTGCTTCCTTCGAGTGGCATGGCGGTTAGGCACCGAATGGGTGTTACAGCTGAACGGAAAAAAGGTGGAATTCCACACGGATCCCGCTTTACTGCTCGCACTCACGTGCTGCTACGGCCGAGAAGTCCATCCCAACCAAGATTAGCCAAGAATTCGGGACGCTTGCCGGTCCGGCACCAAGCCGAGGTCTGATTGGTCGAAAGTCTGGACCCAACAGCCGATCATGACCCAGTATTGGCCAAGTGCCGGATGCCAATGGCGCATCCAGAACGCGTCAGAATTTCCAGAAAGTTATTGCCGCCTATGCTATATATATGAAGCTCTGTACAGCTATTCCTGACTTCGTTTTGGGAGTTAATATACCTTGTGCACCTTTGGTGGTTGTTTTGACATGAACGCTAGCTTGGTAGGCTCAGACCGAGAACTAAGCTGACAAAAATACCGTTACTGCACACAATACGTAAAATGCGCGTGCGTCCTCCTGGATTCTAAGTGGCCTGTTCAGTGACTGCATGTTCAGGAGCATAGCCTAAAACTTTGTGGATGCAGAGCGCATACCAAGGGACGCCACGACCTTGGTGAGTTCATCCAAGTGTGCTTGACGAACGGCACAGAGGTGACTATCAACGTGTATCCAGTCGAGAAAGGATTCTTCTGCCCGGGAACTAAGAACGATACCAACCAACCCTGCAGCAGCAGCCTCTGGTTCATCAGAGGTGCGCAACGGAAAGCGAGTGGAGAGTGATGAGGCGGTTAGCTCAACCACTGTGTTTGCATCGTGAATTCTTGTTCCTGATACACAACACGCGTCAGTATCAAGCAATTTCAGTGCACAACTATGTTATCGACTATGACCCTTCACGATATTGTGTCCGTGGCGTGTCACTCTTTCGTCCATGAGGTGGAGTGAATACATCCTGGGGGCGGGCGGTTCACGTAACGCAGCCGAGTGATAAAATTGTGTGGAGTCATCTGCTTGGGTATCCATAAAAATGCAAATCACAGCTGTAGCACCCTTTCGGGGCCTAACTGCTATGCCACCCGAAGGAAGCGCTAGGTCTGGGATACTGTCAGGTTCCCCAAGTCCAGACAGGAGAAGTTGTGAGGCAGAGCTCGGGTTAGAACCACGGACCTTCCGGTGCCGGTAATTGAAAGGGACTTGTGGACACATACTACCCACCGAAATTCTGCACGTTAGCACAGTGTCATAGCATACTGTCATGTAGCTCAACTCCATTGGGTTGCTTGGGGTCTACCATATCAGTCAGTTGAGCTCGAGCTGGCTCAGTGGTTAAGACCCGAACTTAGTGACCGGTAATTCCAACTAGATCGCGGCATCCCAACTACTCTTGTCCAGGCTTGGGCAAACTGGCAGTGTCTAAGCCCGTGCTTCCTACAGGTGGCATGGCAACTAGGCACCGAAAAAGGTGTTACGGCTGTATTATTATTACTTTTGACAAATTCACTCATTTGCATACCAATTTGGTTTTCACTCCAGACTCACCTGAATTACCCGTTTATGATATCCTTCAAGTGAGCCTGTCGTAAGGAACAAGCTGATATTCAAATGAGGGTATCTGTCGAGCGTCGTGCAATTCGGGTTTAAGTAGAGNACGGTTCACAAAAATTTGAGCACTATGCTTACCTGGCGAGCTCTAAGAAACGTTAAATCGGTCGTAGGCTAACGAAGGGTTTTGAGCAACCTTGTGATAGCATTAATTTTATTTATTTACGTGTCAGTTGGTTACCACAGAACCATTCGTCCACTAGACGGGGTTCATAGCATCATTTTGATAGTCATCACGCCAGCAGTAGTAGATCGGTTTGGGGTCAACCCAAGTGTCCCAAAGGTGTCATCGGACTACTCAGTGTATATCAGCTGTTTCGCCACACATGAATCCTAACCAGAAACAAACAAATCCGCTGAGTCGATCCACAAGTGAACTATGGAAAAATATCCGTCCTCACTATCAACCATAACCGATTTCACACCATTAATATTCTAATGATGACCATGTGTGATATCCACTAAGAAAACACGTAACACTGAAATTTCACCTCACCCGATCGAGTACTAGAAGATCAGGCTGGGCCAATGGCCAATGAACACAGCCCATCAGGTAGAGCCAAATTAGCGGGTGTAATAAGCCGATGCGTCCGGTTATCGCCGTCACCATATGCTACAAATGAGTTGATGTAGTAGACGCTGACGAAATCCAATGAAACACGTTAGGCATATTCATTACTGCTACGATATACACACTGCCACAACAACACGCGTGATGGACAGAACTTGAGATGTTTCAGCTTGATGCTACCTTCCGGAAGGTGCGCGATTCAAACCAGAAGCTGTCATCCCAACTTTAGCAACCTGACGACAGTTCAGCCTTTGTAATTCAGCTACGCACCGAAAAGATATTACAGCTGAGCTTTTGGGGGGACACATGGTGGACACCGATATAGTGACAGCATAATGAAAGAAACGCCAGAAGCCATTACGCACGGTCACAACTGACAAATGGCAAGAGCACCAGTATAACGGCGCAGCGAGACTATACTGCATAAGACAACATACCTGCATGTTTGATCACCTGCCCGCAGCCATTGGAACCTTACGCAAGGTCACAACTGACAAATGGCAAGAACGCCAGTATAACGGTACAGCGAGATTATACTGCATAAGACAACATACCTGCAGGTTTGATCACCTGCCCGCAGCCATTGGAACATGGTGGCCGGTAACCCACCACACTAGATGGTCCCTGAAGTCGATGGGGTTCAACAAAGACACCAGAAGGCGCCGGATACGACTGCACATGTCGTCCTCTGGAAATGCATGGCTCGGTGACTGTTGTGGTAGCCATCGTATAAGGAGTAGGAGTCGGGTGATGTGGTCCGGGGGTGATGTGGGATGGAACATGATGTGACGAGTCCCCAGAGGAGGCTCGACCAAGCCAACTGTTACTCCGTGGAGGTGGGGGAGGCGGGGGATTTCTTCTGCAGACCACATGAGGACCCTGTGCATACGGGTCCCTGAACGATGGATAGGAACTATGTGTCAACATGCATGAATTTACTCCACAATAAGGAGCCTCAGGTTTCATGATATTCCGAGCAGTATCGTACACATTAGCGAGTAGGTAGGAGGTTGCCAGCTTTCACAGTACGTTCTCAAGTTGGAGTCAACCACTAAACATATGGCTTCGGTAGAAGGGATCCGTGGAGAAAACCCTACACTGACATATGCGGAACAGCGTCTAACAACAGTAACCTGTGGAACATGAATGGCTCGTCCGTTATAGTGTATTCGCTCTCGTAAAAACCGTCTAGCCTGTCTTTGCATTACTAACAGGTTGTTTTTAGCGGACACGAACAAGGTTTTGAAAGCAATGCTGAACAAATGCCGTAGGCCTTAGGTTACCATATAGCCGCCACAGTCAGTCTTCTGATCCACAGAACGGAACCGGACAGACTGGTAAACCATCTCTTAATGTGACAAGCAGCTGAGTTCTACCGGACACCTAAAACGTGTTAATATTTGGATTGTAATTAGTTTTAGTGTGGGAAGTTTGCCGCATCTTTCCTGGGCGTTTCAGCCCTCAAATTCGTGAAATTTGGTCAAGATCACTTGCTTCCCTCAAAGCAATGTACTTAAAGTCCCCCATGTTCCCTACAACGACGTCATAATTGATTGGACGGATGTAAACATGCTGAGAAGACCTAAAAGAAGTAACAGTAATTCGAGAATGAATCCGAGTCATCCTGGTCCAGGATTGCAGTATGGTGAGAAGTTGGGATAAACAGTTGACTACCCTCGAATGGGCTAAACCCAGAAATCAATTGGGTTCTTTGACTTCACCATATACAAAACTCCTTTCTGGCTAGGACAAGAAACTAGACGATAACTCAGCCTTTTATAAGGCCATGCCGTCGAGGCTCACTGGCCCCACTCTTCAGCTTGGGCAGTGTTTCCCATCCAGCCAGGCGTCTAGGGATAACCACCAAAACGTTCTTCAAACAATTTTGTGGACTCATGTTCTTGGCCAGCCAGATTTAGATCCTACTAAAAGTACACATCACACCTTTGGTAAAGGCATTATAGGATTCATCCATCGATTCAGCCGATCCAGCCAACTACAGTGCGTAACGCACGTTAATTTCCAAGCCAGACCTAGGTGAAAAGCCCGTTAGGACACGAATAACAGCGTCACAGTGTGTAGAATGGAACCTAACCGTGTGTTGCGATGGAGATTTCGTGTTCCGCAAATTCTGAGACTTGAAAAACGGTCAGAAGAATTCACGTGATTAGTCATTATCCGGAGGGTGAATCAGCTTACCGCGTGTTCGGAACCTCTACATGAGCGGAATGAGGGGCCGAAAAGTTGTGTAACGAATGAGCAGATGGTGTTGTCGAAGGGACCCCGGTAAAGTCAACAGGATGGTTGTGATGAATGGCAGTCGAAGACAGACCACTATCCCGTGGATGTGTTGAAGGCTGGGAGGGTAATGTGTGGTAGAAAACGGACATTAATGTGAACAACGGTGGGGCGGATATTACGGTAAAAACAAACGCCCAAAAATAATCCGTTGTGTTGCTAATGATGACTAACGTTCACAGAGCACAGAAGAAGAGCAGAAGATGTAAATAAACAGCTACTGTAACAGAGCAGTGTTCAAGTTTCAATCAAACTGCGCAATGAGTCAAAAGGCTTAGTCCAATTAAAAGTTCCATTAAAAATGAACGTAAGCCTCTGATTATTTAGTCAACCGAGGGCAAAACGCAAATCTGACATACTCCTGACGGTCAACAATTCACTGAGCAAATGAAAGGGATGAAAAGAAGGCTACCAAGATGAAAAGTTCAAAGGGGGCAATATCCTACAATACAACGCTGAGGTAGAAGCGGGTAGCGTATCGAAGCCGAAAGGTCCCTACTGAGATGCTGTCCGTAGCTGAACACGTATCTGTGCTGTTGTGTTTACACTGAAAGGTCAGTTCATCAAACATCATTAACTTTTTCAGTAGAAAATCGATTACACAAGGCATTCGCCGATTGGCTTTTCAAGATATCAGACTAGAAATGGCAAACTGCACACCTGAGACAAACACACAATTCCGCCGAACAACAAACCAGTTTTAGTTGAATGTCATGAAACACAAAAGCAGAGTCTTTCCCCAAAATACGCAAAATCATATATGCCGGATGAAGCGAACAGACCGACGGTGCGTGTTTGAAGATCGAACTATAAAACCACTCGGAACAACAAAACCAATAAAACCAGAGGAGAGTCAGGTGTTCATTTATTCCTCTCCTTCTGTATGGACGCAGGCAGTCAGTTCGAGGACGAACTGCAAAGCCTGAGTGTCAGCTATTCTCAGCTAAAATACGGACCTGGATGGATCTAAACAGACAGGGCATTGTACGTGACAAACCAAATCGGACAGTGTCATTAAAACTAGATGAAGGTAACGTGAACTGACTGGAGTGGATGTCAGAACATGAGGAATTAAGCTCAGTAAACCACAGAAGATGAGATGAGGATGGGATCACAATTTATGACCCGAAACAACGAATAGGGTTGGACAGACTAGTGAGATATGCCAAGTGAAGACAGCACCCACCAGAGCATGGCCCCCTGTCGTTCGCGTGAATTGCACCCATTCAATTATCTTACTGATGAAGCAGTGTGGTTTTTTAATTACCTTCAGAGGTGCCTTCCACGTTTCAGATCATTGTGGTTGAAATATTAACTAATGACCTACCTACCACACCCTTTTAAAAAGGAATTCCATACAGTTCCGATCGAATTTCTTGAAAAAACCGTAATAGGACCCAACAGTCAGTTTAATTCAGTTTTCCAGCTCATTAGCGGTGCACTAAAATAGAGTGATCTCAGTTGCTACAGCTCCGTTCACAGAGGATAAGGAGAATAAGTAAATAGGGACAATGGGTTGAAATGGTCAAATCAGTTGATTTATGTTGAATATTATCTTCGTTTGATGTGGATAGACTGGAGGGCTACGCGATGAAGGCGGAAGAGCAGAGGTTAGACAGCCACTGATTGCGTGACAGCCATACCTGTCAGGGTCACTGACCACCGGTTTGTATCGTCCCGTGATTGTCATCCGGGAAACCGACAGTTAACAACGCAACTCAGTTGACTGATACGGTCTGTCATGCTTCGTTGGCAGGTCACGGACTGACCTACTCTTTGTCACTTCCATCCGACACAAGACAAGGCGCAGAGAGTTCTACGAGGCAAACGGTCCTCTGGCGTGTGAAGCACATTACCTAACCACCGGAACCTATGGATTGGGATCAGCTGATCTGTCGAGGGAAAAGAAACTGCTCCGGAAACTATATGGCGTATTTTAGCATTACTGATCTGATGTTCATTCCAGACCTTGCAACGCTTCGGAGGGACCCATAGTCAACACAGAGAGCCTTCAAAGGTCTTCCATACGCAGCAGGCACGTCCCTGATCCATAAAGTAGAACAGACCAGACCACTGAACTCTACAAATCACAATCTCATCTCACGTCAGCAAATCCAGCTCTGGTGTTCTCGATTCGGGAATTAATTTCGTCTTTCACTAGACCCCCAGGACGTATGCAGATGCCCAGGTAAACGCCGATCGGTTTACCTGCGAGCACGAGGCTTGGGTTTGATCCCGCCCTATCTTGAAGCAGCACTTTATACTTAACATGTGCGGGGCGCAGTAGAATTAGTTAGGCTAGTTGAAACAGTTTGCATTTCTGAGGAGTCTGACTCAAGAAAAGCAATAGTGTCGGCATACTCAGTGTCCGCTTGCAAACGCCAAGAGAACATTTTGATCCCCGAGGTGTTAGAGGCAGGTAAGGAAGAGTTGAACAGCATATCGATTATGAAGGTGGAGAGAAAGAACGAGAGAGGACATCCTTTCAAGACATCACTGCATTTGTTGAAGTCAGGAAAGAATTTACCGTGGACACGTTGGGAGGATGCATATAAAGCCTTCATAAGGGACAAGTAGCTACAAGAGGCATTCTTCATCGCCAGACAATGTCACAGTTTCTGACTATCAGCGGAGTTAAATGCAGATCTGAGGTCGACAAACAATCGCTATTGGGTGCGATTGTTTCCGTTGTTCCCGAGCTATTGCGATCCACCGGCGCTTCGTCAATCCCAAGGCTTCAAAGTATTCGGCGTTTAAGGGGTATGCGAGCAGCGTCACAGTCATCTGTCGCTGGTATAGTTTCCCTAGCTTTAGTCTGATGATGATGAGATCAGTGTTAACTGGGATGTGCCAGAGTCCTCGAGCAGAGGACTTCAAAGCGTATGATCACGGTGTCTTTCACCTTTCTTTACTCGTCATCCAGATTGTCATTGTCCTCGTCGAATTCTGGGAGCTTCTCAGCCAACTAAACTCGATATTGTTGAGACACAGAGATGATCTGCAGGTGGTGAACTGAATGACACAATGAAAAAGTTGCTTCTCATTATCCGTTTGGTAAGCCCCACATGGGCCGCAAAGACGGGCTTCTCAAGGACTTAGTCGGCCAACATGAGCATTCATATCATTCACCAGAATCACGATAGCTGTAAGTAGCACTGACCGGTGTAACCGCAACAAATATCTATAGAAGCTGCATTCCTCAGCATCGGAGCTGCATCCATCAGGAAGTATGCTGACACAACAAGATGCATTGATCTTGATTGAACAGCGCGAAAACGACATTTCAATGGAACCCACTCCAGCAGTACACATCAAGTTTTGGGGATAAGCATAACTTCCACGCCTTAGATACGTGGAGTACAGCCAGTGAACAAAGACCTGTGAGGGCAAATAGTGGTTCCCGGCTGTTCAAGCTGAAGAAGGGAGTTGGTTCAGTTATCACAACTTGAGCCTTTGACTCAAAAGTCTGACCCACAAAGCAGAGGGAGGATATAGGGTTTCGTTCGTGGAACATTCCCCTAACCTGACTAGAAAGACTGAACCGTGAGACGGCAGTTACTTGGGTATTCATGAGAGACTCGTCCAGGAGCCAACGACTCAGTAGTCTGAGCCACTTGGCTGCGGGGGGCTGGCCTGGTCCGAGTGCGCAGGGGGTAAGGCGTTACTGTGCCACTGCTAATGCAGGTGTGCACAGCAAATGTCTTTTGAGCACCACTGGACTCTTTGGTCTTAAAAAATTTCGATCGTATTGAATAATGCGCCAACCTTTGGGCGATCGGAATATATGGCTTCTAGGGCTAACGTTTTCTATCCCGTACTTTTTCAGGATAAGGCAGAATTGCTGCTTCCATAAGTATGGAGGTGCTGGTTACCTGAAGGAAACGGTTTACTGCCTTCACACTCCTAAAGTATAGGACAGTAAGACTTTACCTCCAGACCGCCTCGCAATGCGGTTTCTCGTAGTACGGGTCTCGTTCTTCATTGGACTGCTCTCCATCGGTCACCTGGGCCTCCAGTTAAGAGAAACGACGAACCAGATGGCGAGACGGGAATTGTGGAACTGAAAGATGGAGGACTATATACGGTTCAAATACGAATCAATCACACTGCTGGCCGAATAGTACAGAGTTTCCTACTAACCGGAAAGCCACCAGTTCGAGTATTCCAAAGCATCTGAGAGACGTGCACTTCTCACTATTCCCGACGGTGGTGAATTTGCCCAGCAGTAATTTTCGGCTGTTTAGCATACATTAACTGCTCCATTAGGATGAAATCCAACACCTACACGTCAAACTGTCATGCTCCCCATTGCGACTGTGTGATTGCGCACGATATTCTAAGCGTCAGGCTGTTTGTCACTCAACAACGCAATGAACACCCTCATACGACCAAATTTTTCCGGCTTTTACAAGGCAATACTAGAAAAGGACTGCTAGAACTACAAAGTGCAGATGAGTGTCACGTGTCGAGAAGCAGGAGAACCCATAGGCTACGTTTAGTTTCTAGTTCCATTTGACCATAAGCGGCACATCACAGAATGAACACTTCCCATCTTCCTTTGGCAAGCCTTCTCGACACGGGTGCCGTATTGAATGTGGGGTTCTTAGGTTTTCAATAAAAGTGCAGCCAGCTACAACAGAGAAGGCCGAATTCGGCCGAAAAAGGACTAGGAAAAAACGTTGGGGATCAAGTAAATGAGTTGGAGATGGAAGGAAAACCCAAGTCTTGAGGAACATCTACGAAGTTATAAGAATCACATGGAACGAAGTGAAGGAAGCAGGCCAATGTACCAACAGCCAAACAAAAGTCCCAGTTTCAAAGACAGAACTGTCACTACCGATACTGAAAAGGCGAGAAGTAATCCACAGCTGTTCCATCCTTGTTAAAAATCGTTTACCACGCGCATCACACATATCATCAGGGAAATTTGAACACAAGACACCTGGGTTGTAGCCTGATGGCATAGTGTACATTTGGTAACCGTAAGTTTTCGAGTTAGAATCTCCCTAGAGATTCGTGAAGTGCGCACTGTTGACTAATTACAACAAGGATGAAACAG